ATAATCACTCATTGTCTTTTGAGGCAGGTTTGAAAGACGGTTAGTACATTTTTTAAAACCCCCAATTTTCTAGGTTAATTTGTTCAGTTTTATAGTTACTGTCTTGAACATTGCGAAACCTCTGCTCATCAAATGAAAAGCACTAAAGTGCAAACCCTCGGCGAACTGCGCATGCGCGGTACCTCTAATTGATGGGCTGGGCCTGTTAGTCTGCGTGATCTCCCGCTAGTAGCTCGCGGAGAGTGTGACACGGGCTAGCTACAGGAGTAGATAGCATGCGGGAGTCGATACACGCCCTTCGTTGTGACTTCTTGTGCCTCCGAGGTACACAGAGCAAGCGGACCAGGTCGAGGTAAGCTAGTGCTAATTAGCATATTGGCTTGTTCACTTGGTTTTCACGCCATAACTTCTGAACGCGGCACTTTTACGAAAATCGCCATTTTTAAAATCAAGCCAGTGTAGCGCTGAACCCGTTGGTGTCGCTATTTTACCTGTTTGTTGCGCGTGGTGGCAGAAAACGTGGTAACAGACGGACAGACGGACAAACCAAGTACTATAACCCTCGCTGCGCATGCGCGCCGAGGGTTAATTCTATTACAGTCCACCATTGTCTTTACTGCAGACACTTCCTCTCTTATCAGTTGGTGCTATCTACTATCTACCACTGGAAACTGCTATATAGGTTTTTTCTGCTAAGTCAAAATTATTATATATAATTATCAGTGAAGGTGAGTTATAAAGTGGTGGAATTTAGTTCTCTACATAATTATTATATTGCTGCTCTCCTGATAGTTTGATGAAGGAGAGGGAGATTGCTCATACCTCCTGCTGTTATAGAGTCACTTACTGGATCCAACAATCACTCATTGTCTTTTGAGGCAGGTTTTAAAGACGGTTAGTACATTTTTTAAAACCCCCAATTTTCTAGGTAATTTGTTCAGTTTTATAGTTACTGTCTTGACCCCCTGCTCATCAAATGAAAAGCACTAAAGTGCAAACCATCGGCGAACTGGGGATGCGCGGTATATACCGCTAATTGATGGGCTGGGCTGCTATTAGTATGCGTTTACTCGTGGTCTCCCGCTAGTAGCTCGCAGAGAGTCTGACACGGGCTAGCTACAGTAGTAGATAGTATGCGAGAGTCGATACACGCCCTTCGTTGTGATTTCTTGTGCCTTCAAGATACACAGACAGCCCGGTCGAGGATATAAGCGCATGCGCATTTTCCGCAGCGATAAAAATGGCCGACTACGCATTAGCTGTACAATGGTGGAAGCGCTCTAGCTCTGCAACGGAGCATTTTCAGAGAAAACCCCACATTTTTTCTGACCTTCGTCGCCTGTTGGGTAGATGGTATCGTTTCTGGGACGAACAGACACCCGAGAAGTGAGATTGAGAGTAACAGACAAACAGACAGACAAACCCAACTACTGTAACCCTCGCAGCGCATGCGCGCCGAGGGTTAATGAAAAGCACTGAAGTGCAAACCCTCGGCGCATTGTGACGCGCACGCGTAAGTAACGCATGCCCCGTGGGAACTAATTGATGGGCTGGGTTTAGTTATAGCTGTTACTCGTGGTCTCTTGCCAGCTCGCGCAGAGTCTGACGCGGGCTAACTACACTACTAGATAGCATGCGAGAGGCGATACACGCCCTGCGTTGCATCTTCTGGTGCCTCCGAGGTACGCAGAACACGCGGATCGATCAGACCGTGGTAAGCCATCCCGTCCGTTGTGTATTTGCATATTGGCTTTTTCGTGCTCTAGCTTTGCAACGGAGCAGTTTCAGAGAAAACTGTTCACCTTCATTGCCCATATCCTTTGTGAGACGAACAAACACCAGAGAAGTGAGATGTAGAGTAACAGACAGACAGACACACAGACCCAACTACTGTACCCTCGCTGCGCATGCGCGCCGAGGGTAAATTGCCGAGCGCATTAGCGCGAGGACGTACGTCTCCGTCACGCTTAAATTAAGAATGTCCATTAGTCACGCTTAGGGAATGTCAATTAGTCACCAAAAGGAAGTGTAACTTCCGTCATTCGTAGGAAGTCTAGCTTCCGCCGTGCGCGCAGATTCGTAGGAAGTCTGGCTTCGCGCGCAGTCAGTAGAGCGCGCGCACGAGCGGCCTCAGTCGGACTGTTTACGCATTGGGGATGGCACTTGGCAGGCGCGAGGCAAAATATGCGCGTGCGCATTCCTAGTAAATGGTATGCGCTTACACATTGCAGACACTTCCTCTCTTATCAGTTGGTGATATCTACTGCTGGAAACTTCTAGGGTTCTTTCCGCTAAGACAAAATTATTATAATTATCATTGAAGGTGAGTTATAAAGTGGTGGAATTTAGTTCTCCACATATAATATTTTGCTGCTCTCCTGATAGTTTGAGATCGCTCATACCTCCTGCTGTTATGGAGTCACTTCTTACAAAATTTGCCAATTTTTGTGAAGGTATAACAACTATTGTCTGCTCCTGTGGTATGCGGCGAGGGTTCCTTTGCTTTACCCCAGGTATATTATAGTCCTGACAGACATGCAGTCTTTACTTTGCCGTACTTGTACTCTTATGAAACTCAATCCAGCATGTGGCGATAACACTAGAAAACAGCACAACACCCACATCCACAGAACCTTTAAAATTCCTGCCAAAATGATATTCACCTTTACTGGAAGTGCTGAACTGAAGCTTTTTATACATACATAAGTATTATAGCTGTTTATAAGACTTTAATTTTCGTCTGTTTCTCATCCACTGTCATATTGTGTAATCTGTGTTGTAAGACAGCCAGTATATATACTATGTTCAATAAATATGAGCTACATGTGCAATTTTGTGCGTAGTTCCCCTGCGTGGGAAAAAATTGATCCTGGTGTATCTGGGAGTTGCTCTGCAGCTGCTTGAATTCTGACACCAGAGACTATAAGCCAGTATTGTATATAACCCCCTTCATGAACCACTTTTAGTTGACTGGCAACATGTATGATAATGACAGAAGGTGAGAGATGAATATTATGAGAGTCAGTGTTTCTTGTGAGTGTTTGTTCTGTGTCTCTTGGTGTGAGGGTTCCACCTCAAGTACTCCCTGTCCACTGTCAGCTGAGGCTTCCGGTACTCCGCACTCCTCATGTGCTCCTCTATGATTTTGCCAGTGACACAAATGATGTGCTGTCCCTTCCAGTACTTGACCATGTTGAGAGCCTGCGGGGTGCTGATGATGTATTTTGCCGTGATGCTCGTCTGGTGGCTGCAGGGATAGCAATAGCATCATCATGCATCTTAGCTTTTATCGGACTTCAGTAGCACTGTTGCAACAAATGCACTGATGCAGCTATTAACATGTTAAAGCAAAGTGCATTTTTAGGCATATAAGCGGCAAAAGAAATTGCACCTTTGGATGCCTGCTTTAGGTCAAAGGTTTTTCTGAAAGATTGAGAGTTACACAGGCATTGCAGGATGCCCACGGCTTTCAAAGGGAAATCTTTTGAACATCTTAGTATCTGATTCATGAAATATTGAGTAGAAGCTAGTTACTAGAGTTCTCAGTCGTCACTTAGTTGCTGGTTGTCTCCGGAGCATGTCTGGAGTCTTGTGAAACACCACCTCTGGTAGAGAGAATGGCCTCAGCTCTGGGAAATGATGTACCTGGTGGAGAGGGAGGGACAGAAGACAACCAGGAGTAGAAGGTAAATGGTGAAAAGCAAGTGGGGAAATCATGCACTTTATAAAGATGAGGGGGGAAGAGGAATAACGCAAGTGTGAGGAAGAAAAGCAGTGTGTACGCGTTTGTTCATTAGGAGTGGTGTGAGCATAACCATTCTTGTCACTTTACCTGATCAAACCAGCAGCAGACATGAACATACAGCGCCTTCTGTACATAATATCATCAAAGAGTCAACACAATGCTTCCATATTATACAAAACATTCGTACAAGCAATCAACATAGTACATTTTGCCATATAAGACTTACCATGTATCTGTGGAGACCGTAGTAGAGAAGAATGTCAGCTAGTGAGAGCTTGTAGCCAGTCAGGAAGATTCGAGTGGTCAGGTGACAGTTCAAGTCCTGTATTAGAGTGAAAGTTAGTACAAAGACTAGGTGTGTGCTCACATGTTCACCAGGAAAACAGAGGCCAGCTTTTCTCTGGACAGAGCGTCCCACTGAGACTCGGAAGGACCCGGGACGTGTAAAACTCCACCCACTGCCTCACGAGACTCCGCCCAACTCGTCCCTCTCCGCACAGGCACACGTGTACGTCGGGGTTGGCGTGGGGGGAGTGTGATGACACGGACCACGAGGCTGCCAGGACTGACTGACTTGCATACTCCAACTGAACAGAGAGAGAACAAAGCAGGGTTAAAAGTATACACTTTAAAATTTTAACCTCGACCGGGCCGCTTGGTCTGTGCATCTTGAAGGCATAAGAAGTCACAACGAAGGGCGTGTGTCGACTCCCGCATGCTATCTACTACTGTAGCTAGTCCGTGTCAGACTCTCAGCGAGCTACTACCGTGGATACCGCGAGTAAACGCATACTAAAAGCCCAGCCCATCAATTAGTGGTACCGCGCGTGCGCAGTTCGCCGAGGGTTTGCACTTCAGTGCTTTTCATTGTACCATGTACACCTAGCTATTTCCCTATTTCCCAAGAAATTATTGGCACCCACTCAAAGTTCTTGGAACTGAAGTAGTATCTTTTAGAGGCACCAATCATTTATCATATCCACCCCTGCAACATGGGCAAAGTCATCTGAAGGCCAGCCTCATGACATAGCACAAATCACCAGATATTACCTGTATATACCATCCATGGTATCTCCTTAATCAATGCAAGGAAATTTTTGCCACCCACACAAATTTCTTGGAACTGTAGTAGTAGTTTTGGAAAACTCATCTGGTAGCTGTGTTCCTTATACTCGATGTCTGGTTTTAACATAGCATGTGAATGATATTATCTTCCCTCGCCATCTATAAAAAGCTAGTCTCATTTATGAGAACATCAGCCCATAAGACGGTCTACAGATATGGCTACTACAGCTCTTTCTTCCATGATTATACTTCTGATCTACTGCACCAGGATCTACGCTGTTACTGACGATCACGCGGACTGTGTCATTTGTCAGCTCAGGGAGGAGATTAGGCATGACCTGTACGAGGCACTGAATCTTGGCTACACTCCCAGTCACCCTGTCGCCTCCTGCAAGGAGTCCTCCAGCTGGCCCCACAGTCTCCCTCAGGTCTCTACTGGATCAGTGGAACCGACAGCAGACCCAAACACATGTACTGTGACGTGGAGAGGAGCTGCAAAGGTGTAGCTGGAGGCAGACTGTGTGCTAAGAACATTGATGGTGGTGGATGCTCTTCAGTTGTGCTGCCAGTACAGGGAGTAGAGTACTCTCAGGTGTGTGGCAAGATCATTGGATATCAGGACAAAACACCAGATGCTTTTCGCTGATACACTATTATTACCAGAGTCACCTCAGCATATCTGGACATTTGCTGCGGGGCTCCACGAGGATAACTCTCTCCCAGAGTCAGTGTGTCCCTCTGTACAAACACCCGAAACAGCCCGCCTCCTCCTGCAGTACCCTCATTCATAGGAAATGACTACTTCTGTGACACCGGGAGCCAGAACCACTACCAGTAGCTACATCTTCTATGGAGACGATCCTCTCTGGGATGGTGCTGGAAGTGGGGAGTACAACACCTGCTGTGAATTCAACTCTCCACCGTGGTTCAGGAAAGAGATCTCTCCTCCAACCAGTGACGACATTGAGATGAGGCTGTGTACCGACCAGGGGCCCAATAATGAAAATGTCAACTTCGAAATAGGCTCAACGGAGGCCTTGTAGGCTCAACGGAGGGCGTGTATCGACTCCCGCATGCTTTATACTGCTGTAGCTAGCCCGTGTCAGACTCTCCACGAGCTTACACTAGCGTTGGGACGCGTACTAATAGCCTAGCCCATCAATTAGCGGTACCGCGCATGCGCAGTTCGCCGAGTGTTTGCTTTTATGAGAAGACAGTGCGACCAGCGGGTGCGTGAGGTCGAGCATGCAACTTTCCCATCACTACTAGTGTGCTGTCAACACCAACAGGTGGAATGGGACGGGCTGCAACAATATTCTTCAAGAGACTTGCATCAATGGTGCCGGGAAAAAAAAGAGATTTCCCCTATGCTGTGACCCTAAGCTGTAGATATGATGCCGACTGAGCGTTGCACTACTGAGAGCGTTCATTATGTCCATCAAGGGGGAGCGACATTTTCCCACCATCAGCCTGCCACAAAATGCCCAATTAATCTTTCAGTTGGCAGCAAATCAACAGTCCATCTGTCTATTTTTGAGCTTACATCATTATGCCTTTATCTTGCATATTCTTTCCTGCACTAATATTCCGTTCTTTCTCAATGCAGAGTGGGCAGTTGTAGTGCTAGTCTTTACTCTTCTGTGGGCAGTGGCTGTAGTACTACAACATTGGATTTCCATAGCGGTAGGCTTTTTTGTGGAAAGACTACACCTGCCAGGGCCATTCACCCAGCCACCTTTCCCTCGGACTATATCAACATTAAAACAATGCACTTCCCACGAGAAAGGGCATTGATGTGTTAACTATTGCAACCACAGTGAATGTAGTACTATATCCAAAGGGTAGCTAGGTGGTTTGTGTGAAATACATAACACACCTGCCAGGGCCATGCACCCAGCCACTCTATACTGTGGAAATCTATAACATAGTCCTCAGGGCAGAAGCAGCATACCCCCATATACTATATACCCCCACAGTCACTGCTTGCAAAAACAAATCAGCGTCCTTTCTCCAGGGGTGGTGCAACCTATGAACAAGGTTGTGGGTTGAAGATCTCTTTTATGGTATATACCAACTCTCCCCGCATGCTCACGTGCCAACATAATTATTATTGTGGCTACCAATATACACTGGAGGATGGTGATGTTCGACTTCATTGAGGCGGTCAATATGAGCTACACTATAATACTTTTGAAAGCCAAGTGTCTTTTGTTAAGGAATAGGACATTGAAACTCTCAGAACAGTGTAGTTACATGTAGACATTGCTCACTCATTACTCAAATGCAAACAATCAAGATATTATATAGAGGTGAAGTAATAGGATCAAACACTGCAGTACCTGTTAACTACATTAATAACCACATGTTCCTGTCAACTAAATGTTCCTGTTCGACAAAAGTGGCACTATTATGCTAAGAGAAAGTTACTTACATGCACAAGACCTTGCTGTCATGTCGTGCAACATAGCCAAAATAAAACCCCCCTCCTCATTTTCGTATATGACGCTAACAGGTCCCAACTGTAGAGGGACACAGCAAGGAGGTGGGATATCATCGAGTCCCCGGAGTGATGCAAGGTTCTGTATGTATGCATGCCAGGTCACTCCAAGGGGAAAAAGCAGTGGATATGTGCAATCTCCAGCACATAAATTGAGTTCAAATTCTCGAGGATACCATATAAAATCGCCCAAGCCCAGGTCTTCAAATGAAACCTGGAAGAAAAGGGTGAGATAGTTGATCACTCATGATTGAAACAGGAACACGCAAAATGTTGTGCAGAAACTGAATATTTGTCATGGAAACTTATAGTTTACAGTGTCAGGTTACAAGGGCGAACCTGGGGGGTGGAGTTTAGCACCAATTACAGTGGAACCTCCGATAAGGGAACCTCTGAGATAGGGACGACCTCTATACAAAGGACACTTGTTTCAACCCCATGCTAATACTTTAGTGTATTTTCTGACCTCCGAGATAGGGACGATCTCTCTACAAGATTGATGCCCCCATATTATTTATTCGGAGATTCAACTGTAATTATCTTACTCCAACAAAGTTTGCAGAACTTGCAGAAGACTGCTGAGACCAAATGCTACATAAGTATAATGCCAATTATCTGTGAGAAGCACATGAAAAAGCTAGTCATCTCTTTCTTGGTAGCTATGTGAAGCTTCCTCAGTTCATGCAACCATGTTATCCTGCATCTAGTGAACCCTGATGTTTCAAGTAAGAAAACTAGTGGGGCTGGAATGAATAAGTGTGATGTTGCATGCCAAGAAAATGCATGATATGGCAGGCACCGTGGCTCACATTGTATGAATGGAGTTGGCAGGGTTGAGGATCGTTAGCTGGTTCATCTCCTGAGCTGGAATCTGCATCCCTTTCGTTGTCACCATCCTCTTCCCTCATGTTGCTCCCATCCTGGGTGCTTCTCGTACGCCGAGATGCAATTGCTAGTCTTGGTTTGGTGAGTGTCTCCTCTGAACCATCACTTTTGGAAAAGACCACAATGAAAGCACTCGTGTTTGGTCTGAAACCAAGATCCTCTAGGGCAAGCGAATGATGGCAGGATGAACGGATTACGAGCCTGAGATGGCTCTGTCTTGTTGACTCTGCCTGCCACTGCTTAAACTGCTGTGTGATATCGCTGAATTCAACATGGAACGATCCGACCGATGTCACCCTGTGTCAGCTGTGTGCTTGAAAGGAGGGTGAAAATGTTGCGTGGTGTGTCGGCGCTTTCATTTGAGTGAGCTCTCATAAGAAGCTGTAAGGAAATGGGGCCGTTGCATCGTTTCTTGAGGGTTTCAGCTTGTTTTGGGATGCGGATGTAGGCATATCTGATCGTGTCTTCATTGATGTGCCTGAGACTCATGTTGAAGTGATAGGTGAGGGAAGACTGGTGATGGGGAGTGTGGCTGAGAACCCCAGAAGCAGTTCGTTTGCCTGCATTGTGGAAAAACATTATTTTGTGAGTGTGCATGCAACTGCTAGTGCATTAAAATCTATGCGTATCGATTGCAGCCCATGCAGCTAGATGTAGCTACATACGAACCTGTTCCCTTTATGGTTCGGACTTCGTTTACGTCGTCGAGATTGGCCGCCTGGTTCCTAACGGGCAAACATGAAGCGCGGTTGTGGTTGGCTCCGAGAGAATTCCAGCAGTTATAGATGTCCACGAGGAACTTGGGGAGAGTGTCGGCGCCGGTTTCCAAGTTCGGCGGAAAGGCCAGCTGCGGGTTATCCGCTATCACCGCCGAGTCTTCTTCGGCGGAGCTGAGTCCGGCAGTAAACAGGAGGAGAAGGAGGATTTGGAACTGCATCTCCGATCGGTGTGTTATGCAGTTACGCGGTTGTTTTTGAGTGCGTTTTTTCGCCTTTGAGGGGACAAAAATGAGTGAAGTGAACATTAACTGCGACTTTATACTGACGGGGACCGACGCGACATGTTCGGGCGTTTGTTCACGCTTGCGCAAAGGGCGCGCGTCCGAGCATCACGCGAAGCGCCCTGGGGGCGGCCCGAAGAATTAATACCGCCATGCAACCAACCGTGAGCATTATTCCCTATCGAAAAATGGAAATGTTATACGTTATTCTGACCCTTATGGGGACGGTAGTCCTGACAGGCTGTACGGAACTTTCTGATGCCTGCAGACCTCGAGGTTATATCCAAATTTCTGATGTTGCCCTAAATATTATTGGTTTTCTGCACAAACTGCAGTCCCAGACTGTCCGGCGGAAAGTGAGGCTGAACCAAATTGTCCCACCTGTTGCTGCACCTCCAGTTCAAATGTGGAATTCTACGATTCGACGTCTGAAGAGCCTGAGTGTACTGCACCGCCAGCCATCTATGAAGTCTCCTTTACCTACACCCTGACCGACGCCTGCTTCCCTGACTCCAATGCTACTACGTCAGGATGGTCTCGACCAAGTGTATCCTCTCACAACAGTGGCTTCAGGCTGTGGGATGCCTGCATGGACAATATCAGAGAGGGAGTGGCTCTATTCTCAACTACTGGGAACCTAGATGGTGTTACTGGTGAAGGTGTTCTTGCAGCTCTGTCTGCAAATACTGTTATAGATGGGCCAATATTTGACGGAA